CAAGGTCATTAAGTCCAACTCTACTTAGCGAGTGGTGGCATTCCCAGTCACAGCTCTTCCCTGCGCACCCAGACTCTTCCCCAGTGAACAATGGATGCCAGTGTCTTCAGGAGGGGAGGGCGGGAGGAGAGACTTAGAAAGACCCAGACAGTCAGACAGTCAGAGGACAAGCAATACAGCACCGCACCGAAGGGAGTATCTGTGCCACAGAGGGCAGGAGAGTGCTGTCACTGGCTAGAAAGAAAAAGCCAAGCAGATGTGGATCAAGTTGGAGATAAACTCTAGTGGGTAGTACCCTGGGTGCAGGAAAGTGTGGGGAACAGACAGACATAGGAATCCTGCACCCCAGGAACAATTTCAGTGCTCTGAGGTGTTCCTTTATATCTTCTATCTGGTTCTGGTATGTTTTCCTTTACCAATGAGACACAAGCTTCTGGCAGCTGCCCTTCTCCAAGACCTGAGAGGTGGAGCAGATCAAAGAATGAACAGATGAGAACTCGTGGCTTTTGGCACCCTCCTGAGTTCTAGAAGAACTGAACGGAGCCATGCCTTGGCATCTACTGGAATGCCTGGGCTGGGACAGCCAGTCAGAGGCCCAGTCTTAAGGGGAAAGTAGAGCCCTAGGGCCAGGGCTGGCTTGGTGCTAAATGGGTAGAAAAGGGGAAGGTGGGTCTCACCTTCCTCCTGTAAGTGAAGGACGTGGCTTATCATAGACACAGGGCCTTCTTGTGACCAGGTCCCAGAAAGCTATTAATAAGTATACTTAGCCCAGCTGGTGTGGCTCAGTGGTTGACCATCAAACTATGAACCAGGAGTCATGGTTTGATTCTTGGTCAGGGTATATGCCCAGATTGCGGGCTCAATCCCCAGTGGGGGATGTGCAGGAGGCAGCAGATCTATGATTCTCTCTCGCATTGATGTCTCTCACTTCTCCCTCTCCTTTCCACTCTGAAATCAATAAAATATATTTTAAAAAATAAGATTTACCAACTAATATCACGGCCTGCATTATACCAGTCCCCTGAATGAATCATGGTGAGGGGCCAGCCTTTCTCCCAGCAGCTTTCGGAAAGCTGACAGGCAATATTCTTCGTCACCTACCCATTTGTGGGCAGCGTCTTTCCCCACAAGTGGGCAGGGTCCAGTGGTGGAGTGTGCAGCTGGTCAGAAGAGCAGGGGAGAGAGAGAGGCCCTTTCAGGAATGCAGTCCCCGGAGGCTTCTCCCGCCCTGCGTGTAAGATTCCAAAAGTCTGAGCTAAACCCCAGGATATAGTCCAGCAAAGATGCTTTGGGCTATGTTCCTCTGGGAGAGAGCAATTGCTAGAGAGGGATTTTATTTTTACAACCCTCTTTCCCGCTGGGGGTGGGGGTGGGGGTGGCTGGCAGGCAATGGGAAAAAACTGTGTTTGGATGAGGAAGGAAGCATTCCACTAGCTGTGTGTATCCTTTTACACTTTCTGATCTCACGTATTCCCTTCTCTATTGTACCTTCCATAATTGTCTGAAAACTCCGAGGGCATGAGTTAAGATCACAATGAATCCTAACATAACTCTGCTTCTACTATATTTTTTTTGCTCCCAAAGCTTTCCACTGGGTAGAATTTTAAATTCGAACAATGGTTCAAAGGCTCAGAGACAAACTGCTCATTACTGGAAAGAGTGCCAGGAACCCTGGGAAGCAGCCCTCTCTCTCCACTGGAGTTCTGCACCTAATAGTAATGGCTTCTTTCATAGTCACGGGAGGGTTGGATCAGCGTTTCTTTTCATTCTCGTTTTCTTTCAGTAACTGCTGGGATGAAAGCAAGTCTAGGAGAATAAAAATTTCACAAACAGGACAAGAATAAAATATTTAGGGCAAGAGATCAGAAGTTCTTTGGTTATTCAGTGAACTGAACTAACTCTACTTTTTAAAAGTATAAGGAAATAAATGTCCATCAAACTCCGTGTCACAGTGGGTATTAGCCTTTCGACCCCATCTCACAGGCTCTAAGCTGCGTGGTGGTGCCTAGCGAGTTGCAGTAAGAAACTCAAGACTAATCCAGTGACAGAATGGAGCAGTTTTGTCATTATTAATTCTGATCCCAATATTTACTAATCTTTATTTGAGAAGCATTCTACCAGCGTTGTTAAATGGCCCATTCTCCTTTCACTTCCCACCCCCAAACTCAATCTTTGATGAATGGTAGGGACGGAAGGGTTATTATCACTGCATTACATCCCTTAGACTCTAAGGGTTAGAGCAAACCCGATCGTTACAGAGGGGCAGATCAAGCTGTCCACCCATTAGTTCCCTTCTCCAAGTTCAATCTGAGTGGAAAACAGTTGGAAAGAGACATGCTTGAGAAGTACTGTACTAAAACTCAACACCTTTACTCATTATTAAAGTGATCTTCTTGGAGTACTTGTCACAAAGCACTCCTCCTTCCCCACCCCCACCCCCCCAAAAACGTTTTTATTTTTATTTATCTTTATTTTTGAAAGAATTACAATGATCCCCATTTCCCATCTCTATTGATCCTCTCCACTCCGCTCCTTTTCCTCAGGCCTTCACCAAACTATAGACTGCCCATAGGTTATACATATGTGCATATACATTCTTTATTAATTTCTTCCCACACCCACCCCCAGACCAGAGCTGAGGTTAACTTGATCTAGAGAACAGTTCCCTCCCAGGGGGGTCAAGCAGCAGTTGGGTACTAACAGTATTGCTTCATGGTTAGCCACGCTGAAGCTGAATCTGATTTGGTAGTGTGATAACCCCATCCTGGCACTGGGAAGCTCTTTTCCCGGACCCATCAATTAGCACAGCTTAAGAAACATTCTATGCCCAAGCAATTCGGGCTAAAAATAACTCTGTGGGCTATTTTTTCCCCCTTTGCTCATCCACAGAAAGCATGTCAACAGGATCTCTGCTCCTTGAGTGTTTTCACTCCTGCTTACTCCTCCCTAAAATGGAGTTCTTTGATTACAATCAGGAAAGTGGTGAGGTTGGTGTGAGGCTTGCCAACCAGCAAAACTGTGCTGATGGAACTAAGCTTTGGGACTGTCAAGTGTTGAGAAAAATAGAATAAAAGAACCTCAAATTCACAGATAGGATAATTTAAAAATAGGTTCTCCTTTCCCCTTCTTTCTTATAAATTACACAGTTCTTTGATCATCATATATCTGATTTATACACAGAATTCACTTCTACCTTAACAGTATTAGCTTAATTGAATGCTTGTTATGTATAAGGTACTTTCCTAAGAACTTTAGGAGCGTTCACTCATGAATTTGCACAATCCTAGGAGGTAGATATGATTGTTTCTATTTCACATTTGAAAAAAACTGAGGTACAGAGAGATGAAGGGCCCTCAGCTAATAAATGTCAGAGCCATGACACAAGCCCAGGAAGTCTGGCTCCAGAGCCCATGTTCTAACCATTACACTTACTGCTTCTGCAACGATTCTGCAACAAAAAAGATATTGACCTTTTCTGAATAACTACAAAGCTGTAACTCCCTATCAAATATGTCCATTTACATTCTCTAAGTTAAGCAGCCACTTGGTCCTATGGTTCATCTTAATGTGAAAACAAGGACCAACAGGAACTTTCATCTCATCTAAAACAGATCAACTCTCTTATACACAACAAATGTAAAAATGCACTGAGGTAGCTGTTCAAGCATCGTTAATTACTTTCTAGCAACTGGAAATGTTTGCAGAATCAAGACCCTGGACACCTTCTTCAGTTTAAGCAGTCAGCACTCAATGGATCTCGTGTGGCTATAACAGAACTTAAGTAGCTATCTCTCAAAGACAAACAAGTCAATTTTAACAAGATAGAGAATGTTTGATTAGAGAGTGTATAATTCAAGGAATATATTATGGTGATAGAGCACAGAGTAGGAAGTTCCTTATGCTTACTGAACCACCAATAGGTCCACAAAGATATCAAAGCACTGGCCTACTCAGCTGCGACCGAAGTTCATATAATCAGGGGTTTAGGAAGGCCAGAGCACTATTCATACGCTCCTTTTTGCTTAAAGATCCTAACTTTACTTAAAACTTTGTCTAATCTTTCCTCAATTCCTCCTCTCTCTCACTCTTTATTCATAAGCTTCATATGCCAATGCCATGTTTCTAAGTACTAACAACCATATTTTAAGACACTGTTCTTTAATTGATTTGCTTCTGAAATAAATTATTGAAGAACTTTCAAATATTGAATATTTTGCCTTGGACAACAAGCTCTCTGAAATGCAGTTAACTGTAGTGAAAGGAACTGATGACTTGGCTGTGATCACCTACATGTTTACAACCACCCAAACACTGATGTCACCGTTTGGATGACAAAACAAATCAGGAAGTTTTGCTAAATAAGTTACGTTTGCTTAGTCCTCCTAGGCCTCCTCCCATTATCTGATTTGACACAAGCAATTTCCTTTCACTAATGCATTTACTTTTTACAGATTTAACCACCAACGGGAAAAGGCATTGAAAATGCTATCTTGGCAGTCACTGGAATGCAGAGGTGGGCCTGAGCAGCTGGGCAAATCCGTATCATCAGCTTCCTTCACATGTGAGTTATTTTCAATAACCATCCTGAAAGATGTTATATAGCTTAACAGGTGACAAAAAGGTTTTAGTGAAAAACATTTTTGTGGATGGGAAAAAACCTTCAAAAATTGGTACTTATGTTCTTTAATATTAAGACACCATCAGACTGAGCTGTAAAAAAAAGTATTAGTAAGATTGTCCTAAACTGACTTTTGAAAAAGACAGTTTTAGTGGTAAGTTTAAAGAAACAGGCAGGCCACTGATATTAGTATCTAATTGCAGTCCTCTGGTGCGGGAGAAACTTAAACGTTTGATCCTTAGTGAAGTCAGCAAACAATATCCCCAGTCTGTGCTTGACTGATATTGAGAACCACACCTTCCATTTCCCAGCCTGGACCACAGTTCCCCTCCTCCCTCTTCCTCCCAGCCCAGACAGGTGATGACAGACAAGGAGGCAGAGATGTTGCTTCAAAATATTTAATACGTGTTAGACACGTGAAGTTTACATTTTTTATACAAAAAAAAGTCAATACAACGAAGGAGAAAATACTGTACAAAAAAACAACAACAAAAAAAAAACCAGCTCCCCCAACCTTTATACAACAAAGACTGGAGTCACCATAGCTACAAAACCATACGGTCTTTTCACTTAGGGGTTCTGTCTGTAAACTTTGTTTCATTCAACACTTTTTAAAAGCACTGTGTAGTAGTTTAGAGCTAGAGCTTTTAAAAAATATATCTTTTCTCTATAACTCCATTATTTCCAAGCTTGAACTCTTTATCAAGCTTTTTATTGTCTCCCCCCCCCCCCCCCCCCCCCCGTGGGGAAGACCCGGACCAAGAGTCCCCTTTCCCAGAATCATCACAGGGTTTCTTAAACGTTTCTTCAGTGAGAGAAAGGAGGGGAGGGAGAATAATACAAGTCTCTACTCCAGACCGAATCACTGTAGTCTTAGGAAATCCTGCGAGGAAGCGCCGCTCCGGGCCCCGCTAGGGCTCTGGCTTTCCTGCGAGGGGCGTGTGTAAAGTCCCTTCCTGCCTCCAGCACGAACGGGGAACTCCCGGGCCCTTCTCGGCGCTGCGGGTGGAGGAAAGTCCCCGCCTGCCCCCGCTCTCCTCGGCCCTGGGGCAGGGGCGAAGAAGCATTCCAGGAGGACAAAATAGTCTTAATTCACAAACACAAACTTACAGACACAGATACACAGACACATAAATGAACAGCCGTCCTCTTCCGATAAGCCTCGCGCTCCCAAGTCTCAAGAGAGGTCCCCGGAGAGGCCAGCACGGCCGAGGCCGAGGGCGGTCCGTGCCGCCCCGCAGCGCCCAGTCTCCCCGGCGCCCGGCGCCCGCGTCTCCGGGGCGTCCTCGGGGACAGGAGCTGCCCAGCCCGCACGTCGGGACGCCCGATGCTCAACCTCCAGCCCGCCCAGCGGGGCCGGGAGCTCAGAAGGCCTCGATGGCTGTGCTCCAGGGGTTCATGTCTCTCAGCACCCCCTTATCGCAGAAGATCTGCCCGGGCTCGGCGGCTTCCGGGCCCCTCTCGTCGCCCTCGGCTTCCTCCCCGCCGCCCCGCGGGCTTTTCCGCAGGAGTCCCGAGAAGCTGGAGCCGAAGATGCTAATGAGGTTCGCCACGTTCCCGGTCTCCATCTCCTCCTCCTCCCCTTCCTCCGCCCGGCTCGGCGGCCCCTCCGGGTCCCAGCGGGGCTTCTTCACCGGGGTCAGGCCAGGCGCCGGGCGGCCCCAGCCGCCGGCCCCCGCCGCGGGGCGCTTCCTGGGGCAGAGCGGGGCCGGCGCCGGGGGCCCGTCCTCCGCGCTGCGGTCCCCGGGGGGAGACGCGCCCGGCGTCCCCTGCTGGTCCTCCACCCCTGGGGGGCAGCCACGGTAGCGGCGAGCCTCTCGGGGCCCCTCCGGGAAGACGTCCGAGCCTCCGGCTGGGTCCCCGGCTCCCCCCGCCGCCACCTCTCCGCCCTGAAGAGTGTCCCTGGCGCAGGTCACGGTAGTCGCAAGCTCGGCGTCACCCGCCCGCAGAGCGTCTGGGGCCGCAGAGAGTTCCGGCCGCGGCTCGGTCTCCAGCCCGGCGGCGGCGGCGGGGGCGGGCGGCTCTCCCCAGCCCGCCGGGGACCCGGCCGCCAGCTCCGAGGGACCGGCCAGGTAGAGGCCGGGACACGGGTCGCTCAGGTAGACCTGGCGGGCGCTGCGCAGCACCAGGGACACCAGCAGGTTCTTGTGCAGCTTGATGCCGCCCCGCTGGACCCGCGAGTTGTAGATCTTGCCCAGCGAGATGCTGACGATGCGGTGCGCCTCCAGCTTGAACTCCATTCTGCCTGCCGACCCTCCACCTGCGGGCAGGCGCGGAGGGGAGGGCTGAGCCCGGGCTCCGGGTCACCAGCCGGGAGAGGAGTCGGGGGCCTCAAAAAGTCGGTCCCAGAGGTGGACCCTCGACAACGGAAGACTAAGAGGAGAAAGCGATTTCGATGACGCGCTCACTGACCCCTTCGTCCCCTCCAGTGCAGACTAGCGCGCAGTCTCCCGTCTGGTCGCTAACTGAGGGCAGCCCCAACGCCCGGCGCTTTATATAAGCCTCCCACCCGCCAATCGCGAAGGGCCGCCAACCATTCTGGGGCGGGCCGACACGCCCTCATGAGCTGCGCGCGGCCAATCGGAGCCCGAGGAGGGGCGCCGAAGCCATTCGAACCTTAGTCCCGCGGAGCAGTCTCTTAAAGGGGACGCGGTGTGCAGGCGGTTAGCGACCTGGACGGGTGGCGGGCCTGGGCTCAGAAAGTAGGTGATAGGGTAGGAGACTTAGCCCCCTGTATTGTTTGTAGGAAAAGGTTCTGGCTTGTGCGCTGGCTTGCCAGAACCAAAGCAAAACAAACCATTTGAACTTTTCACCGTGGAGGTGGACTTTGCTCTGCAATAAAGTCCGGATCCTCCCTGATTACCCCATGCCCCACTTCCATTTCCAGGGCGCCTCACACTTGAAACCTTGTGGTCACCTCTGGCAGAAATGGAGATGACAGCAAAACGTGGCAAGGGATACCCATGGATAACAAAATAGCATTACTACAAGATATTTAATAGATACTAATTTTGTATGAGTTCCTTACCCCCTAGAAACAATCAACCTCTCTCTCTCTCTCTCTCTCTCTCTCTCTCTCTCTCTCTCTCTCTCTCTCTCTCTCTCTCTCTCTCTCTCTCTCTCTCAGCATCTGTTCATGGTAAACTCGAAAAACGAAAAAAAAGAGTTTCTAAAAGTTCCTACATTTTGGTTGCTTATCAAGGAATTGTGTCTAGGTTCAAAAGCCAGCACCTATCACTTTGTTCTCTAGATTTAAAAACAAACACAGTTGTCACATAGGTTCCGATGGAAGGTGGTACAGGTTCTCCACAATGATTTTTCTCCAGCAGGAGGGCTGACCAGCCACCCTTGGAAAAATCTAGCAAGTTCTAAAAATATAAATAGAGAAGTTCTGTGTTCTCATCATGATGTCATAATTTTATTTTGTGCCAAGGTAAAAACATTGGGGAAGAGTGTTCCAGAATTCTTTGGTCAGTCAACCATCTACTGACCCTTAGTACACGACTTTAAGGTAGAATCACCACAGGGTTGTCCAGGGTCCTGGACAGTCAGTCCCAGTTAGTCCCACTTAAACTCCAGCACAGACCTGCCTGATAATTCTGGGTACATAATCTCCAAACACTTTAGTCTCTCCAACTCTAAAAGGGAGAAATCACATACACATCTGCTCCATTATGCAGAACATAAATGATAACTCAGCCACAGTCTGAATCGTGAAACCAAGCACATGGGAGTCTATGTGGAACAGTTAGCCTGACTAGGATTTGGCCAAGTGGTGTATAGTGTTAAGTCCTTACGCGGTGTTATTGATAGGTTTTGTAACTTTAAGTGAAATGATGTATAATGAAACCAATTTTTACCATAGGCTAATAGACATAGGAGTAAAGTTCATATGACATCTCATTGTTATAAGGAAAAGACATTGAACAAAATGACATTTGAGGACTCGCTGTATTTAGTTAGGAGAAATGCTAGTGAAAGGTGGGCTTGATTGTGGCCAATTCACAATCAGAGTCCTCCAAAGGATGTGAGGCCTCAGTAGCATTACCGGCGCCCACAAATGATTGATGGCAACTGAGACACCAGTCCATGAGGCCCAGAGTGCCTCTCCTCTAGGAATTTTCAGCTCACATAAAGAAGGACATAAAATAATAACAAGTAATTACAAAAGCAACCTGTATATTTGGAGTAATAACATGAGAAATGCTTTCTTCTATTCTCTCTTTAAGAGTTATTAGTCACTATAAAACACGTATTTAAGAGCACAGGCTCTGAAGACAAGCTTCCTCAGTTGGAATCCCAGTCCCACTTTTTACTTGGGGTCCAACCTTTGGAAAGTGGTTTCACTTTTCTGTGCCTGGTTCTTTTTCATCTTAAAAGAAGGTAGCAGTGCCTACCCCTTAAGAGTTTTTGTGAGGCTAAAAGAAGGTAACATGCAAAGCTCTTAGAACAGCCTAGCACCTAATAAGCCACCAATGTATGATAGTTATCAGAACACATCACCCCCAACACCACGTTGGGGTGGGAGAAGAGACATGGGGGGGTGAGGAGGGACTTAGATGGGAGAAAGAAGTTGTATTTGAGGAGGGTATTGAAAAGGACCCACAAGTTCCAAGTAGGATCCACAAGTTCCAAGCAGCAGGAGCAACAGAATCCCACACAGGGAGCATCCCACTTGGCAGGCATGCCAGGCACCACAGTAAGTGGGAAAGGCAAGAAGCAGAGGCTGGGCCTACATGATAGTGGGCCCCTGGGAGCTACTAACGGTTGTTGAGTAAGAGAACCACAGAATGGACCCTAGAACAGTCAGTACACTTAATTATAGAGAGGACCACTATTGTAAGGCTCTTATGGGAGTTTAGGCAAAGGGTCATGCGGCCTGAACTAGTGATATCTAGGAAGCCACTACCCACCCAAACAGGTCATGTATAGAGCCAGACTTCATGAAGCCTTCCTGACCCACGTGAGCAGGGCATTTCGCCATCCTGCATCGCATGAAGCATTCTTCACCTTTGCCCTCTCATGCCCCTCCCTGGCTGCGCTCTAAATGAAGACAAAAGCCCATCTATACCGGGAGATAGTGAAAATATTTAACAACTGGGTGACCCAGGCACTAACCATCAGAACTGAGTCCCAGAGGCCCTTAGAGAGCCTGCAGTGGGGAAGGGAGGGGGAGGGGAGTGGGAGGGTGGAGGCCGGGCTTCTGCAGGAAGAACTGAATGGCCAGAAAGGGAGGTACCCAAGGGGCCTAGGGCAGAGGCTCTGCCAGCTGGCATGGAAGCATTTCCGTATTTCAACAACTTGCCCTAGCAGTGCAAGTACTGAGTGATGGATTATGCACTTGGATGAATGAGCCCTTAATGGTGATATTGTCTGCCAGGCACTGTGCTAGTCACTTTGCAGGCCTTATTTATCACCCTTATAAAGTTCTAAAAGCACATGTCATTTTCTCCATTTACAGAACAGGAAACTAGGACTCTGAAAGGTTAAGTAATTTCCCAAAGTCATACAACTGTAGGAGGAGAGGAGGGACTCCACTGAGGTTCAAACCTTGTTTCATCTCTTACTTGCCGGGTGACTTTTGAAAAGTTATTTCACATCTAGCTGAAATGAGAAAACCATGTCCTCGTTCAATTATTTAACCTTTCTGTGCCTCTGTCACCTACTGTGTGAAATGAAAAAATGAAAAATACCTACAGTGCTTAGTACAGTCTAGCAGCACATAAGCACTTTCTAAGTCTAGTTGCTGTTACTGTTATACCAGTGCCTAGCTCAGTACTGAGCACATGGTAGGTGCCCTGTTTGTGCTTGTTGGCTTATGAATGCTTTTTTTCTACTGCACCACATAATAGGTGCTCAATAAATGTCTGCTGCCTTCAGATTGAGCATGGTCACTATTATCATCAGGATTTTCTCTAATCCTGAGATAGAAAAATGGTAACTTGAGAACTTATTTCTGGAGGGTCTGGGCTCTGATGATCATCAAGCTTCACCTCCATTTACCAGAAAAGGTGGGAAGATCTATAACAAATTCTTCTAAGTTTTAGGAAGCAAGTCATTAAATTTGCTGTCATCGATCTTTGCTATTTCCTCATTTAAAAAAACAACAACAAAAACAAAACACACCACACGACTCTGAGCACTATGAGAAGCATTAGGGCTATCAGAAAGACAGGAGGAGCCCTGCTCTGGAAGAAATGGCCAAGCATATCCAGGGGATCTGTGCTGTCCTTCCACCCCCCATCTTCCCAGTTTGGCATGAGCAGATTAGCATGCCTAGTACTAGCCACAGTTCCCACTCAGAATCCATCCATGATCTCCTGGTTCATAGGCTGATGCTCAACAACTGAGTCATGTTGGCCAGGTCTGAATTCTTTAGGTAAAAAGCTCTATAAAAGTACAATATAAGCACTTTATATAAGCAATACTCCTCTTGCTCTTCTGAGAACAAATACACTTTTTAATCCAACTTTTTCTCTCTCACAAGGCTGCATCTTTTTCAGCCTTTTTTCCCTGGGCTGCTTGACTACTGTAGAATTTATCCCCAAGTAGCATTTGATTAGGGGTGAAACCAAAGCCTGTTTTCTTTCCTCATCCCCATTTCCTTTTCTAAACTATTACAGCCCCACCCTTCTTCTTGAACTGAATTTCCTATCTTGGTTCAGAGACCCTTTGGTTGTTTTTATGATCATCCTTGTCATACCCTGCTTTCTGAAATACTCCTAAGGAAAGCAAATCAATAAGCACAGCGCTCAAACCTCATTAAAATGGTCTAGTACCCTCTCAAGGCACAGAATGAGGGAACACCACCATATAAAACCCATTCTGTTCAATACAGTAGCCACCAGGCCAATGTGGCCCATGCAACTGAGGAACTGAATTTTAAATTCCATTGAATTCAAACCGAAAAACTGAAACATGATCAATAAAACCCTTGTCCTGAAAACCAACTTTATCCTATATAATAAAGCCTAATATGCAAATTGACCCAAAACAGTCACTATGAAACGCACTGACCATCAGGGGGCAGACACTCAACACAGGAGCTGCCCCTAGGCCAGCCAAAGCAGGTGCCAGCAAGCCCGCGCCCTCCCCTCCACCCCACTTCCTGATCACCCCACATAGCCCCATAGAGGGAGGTGACCTGCGGCCAAGAGGAGCAGGGCTAGCCGACAAGTAGGCAGTGGCAGGGGGTGGGGCTGGCGAGTGAGCCACACGAGGCCAGTCAAGGCGGGTGCCAGTGAAGGCCCTGATTGCCTTGCTGGTCACCCCACAGATTGGCCCTAATCGCAAGCCAGGCTTAAGGACTCTACCCATGCACAAATTTCATGCACCGGGCCTCTAGTTGTGTCATATTTCTGCAGTTTGAAAATTTAGTTTCAGAGTGGAAGGTATATTGTAAAACACAGCAGATTTCAGTCTAAGTACAAAAAAGAGAATGCAAACTATCTCATTAATATTTTAAGAATAGCTACATGTTTAAATGTTAAAATTTTGGATTTACTGGGTTAAATAAAAGATATTAAACTTAATTTAACCTGTTTCTTTTTAGATATGTGGCTCAAATTATATTTCTATCGGAGAACATTGTCCTAGGGATAATAAAGGGATAGGGAGGGGTGGACTTATAAATATGCATAAGCATATTGTGAGCAATGAACAAAGGTCCTTGATTGGAGAAGAGGAAAAGGAGAGGAAAGATAAAGTAAAAAGGGAATGAAACAACAACAACAACAAAAAAAACAGTTGTGGAGTTGAGGAGAAAATCAAAGGAAAATGTAGAAAACAGAGCTAACTGGCCAGCAGAGAATTCTTTCTAGAACTGAGAAGTTGCCACAGAAGTAGAGAAACACAAGCCAACGTTTCTGAATATGATGATCCAGCCATTATCACAATATTACTTTTTAATCCAAAATACATACATGCAAACTTAAATCATAGAAAGAGTACTCACTCGGGTAGTATCGTTCTCGTGTGTTGTTAGGGTGCATTCATCCTTTTCATCTTGAAGTTACAGGGCCATTTGTTTTCAACGTGCCACTTGCCTGCACACAAGCTTTCAGTGGTCTCCATGGCATTTATGGCAAAAATCCACTCCTTGGGCCTGGTCTCCAGCGTGGTACACAGCACACTGCCAAAAACAAACAGCCCGAAATGGTGAACAGGGCCCGCTGTGCATGAGCAGAATTGCAGATGGTCCTTACCTGGTAAAAGTGGGGAGCTGGACTAAATTATTGTTCCTCAAACGGTGACTGCACGTTAGAATCACCTGGGGAGCCTTTAACTATGGAGACGCCCAGGTCTCACCCCAGATGCTTTAATCAGAATCAGGCACTGGGATTTTTTAAAGCTGGGTAGGTGATCGAAATGTGCAGCCATGTTTGAGACCCAGTGGACTAGCTGATGGTTTCAGGATCCTTTCAGGTCTAGAATTCCATGATTCTATTATATAAATCGAGGCAAACCTTTCCAACCTCTCTACCATCCTGAGCAACATAAATGCCCCCACCTCTTCCCCAGCTAGACAGGTCTAATCAAAAGCATATGTCACCCTGGCCTGCGTGGCTCAGTTGGAGTGTCGTCCAATTTACCACTAAGCGGTTGCAGGTTTGATTCCTGGCCAGGCATATACCTCGCTGTGGGTTCAATAGCCTGGTCTGGGTGTGTACAGAAGGCAACTGGTCGATGTTCTCTCTCACATTGATGTTTCTCTCTCTTTCCATCCCGCTCTCTCTAAAATCAATGAGCATATCCTCTGGTGACAAAAAAAATAAATAAAATTTAAAAAATGCCTCCTCTATTTCCTCAACAAAATGCCCTCTCCCTGGTGCCCAAGTTCTGTACTACCACTTCCTCCAAGAAGCCTTCTGTGCCCATTGGTGTTTACAGTGCTCACTTGGAAACACACAGTCCTTTGTTACTTAAAACCACAATATCACTTATCTTGTGATGCCCTTACTTTGGTTTTGTATTTTGTTTACTCACATGTTATTTAAGTTGTATGTAGATATAGTTCTCAGTTCCCAGGAACATTATAAAGTCCCAGGAGATACTGCATTACACTTTTTTTGCATCCTGCCTCATCTACACCAGAACCATAAATATTTGTATCAAAGGATCAATAACTATTTGATAAATTAATTAATGAGCAACCAAAAGTTGAAGCTAAAATATTCAGACAGCCAATTCGAGGGTTAAAAAAAAAAAAGGAATACTTAATATAAATTTTTCTAGTGGCACATTAGCCAAATTATTACTACAAATACATTTCAATTTACCCTAGCTCATAATTTAATTATTTATGACCGTAAGCTCAACTATTTCCCTATAAAAGCTATTTTCACATAAAACAAGTTGATTTTTGATACAGTTTGCTTTTTCTGCCATGCTATTTACAAATGTGTGATTCTATTACTGAGAAAGTAACTGCTCACCTGTTCTGATTAAACATTTATTATAGGTTAGTGATGTACTGAAAACCCCACTGGGTATCAGCACCTCATTTAGGGGCAACTTATATATCTTTCAGCCAATACAAAAGTCTTCCTCTTCTTGCCATTCCCATCCTAATAAAACGAATTTTAATTCGTTCAAAAGTCAAGTTCATTTTAGATCAACACAGCTTATCTAAATGATGCCATAAAGGCTCATTCAGTTTGAAAACCAGAAATCACTACCTCTTTTCATACTCATTTTGACTAAGCAAATTCCAAGTAATCATACAGACACACCCTCCAGGGTAAAAGGAAATGTAATACCTGCTGTCTGACTAGGAGCTAGGGTGTGGATTAGCAGATTTATGTTTATAAGGCAGTCCCAGCTCTTTTGAGGAAAAGGACGGTAACACGGGCAGCATTCTCACATCCTTCCTTGCATCATCATTGTATAAAGTTATCTGAGCCCAGCTCCTCTCCTAATAAGCAACAATTTCTTTAGAAATGCTGGGGGGGGGGGGGGGGGGGGGGGAACCACTTTGGGGAGAAAAGGTGTCCTTTAAAAGTTAAGGTGGACTAAACATTATTCCATAGGAGAATTAGTCAAGAAAGAAAACCTACAGGTAGTTATAAAATATTCTTTTAAGAAGAATAAGATTTTGATTCCCTGTCTCTCCTCCCCTCTTCCCCCTCTTCCCTCCCCCACCCTCCCCCTCCCCCAAGACTGAGTAATGCTTGGGAAGTTTCAGAGGCACGTGGTTGGTAAGGTCAAAACCACAAGGAGCCCTTTTTTCAGTCCGGCTCTTTCAGTTTGATTTTGAATTTGCCCACGCGTGATGGCGTGAACGCATGTCACTGTGGCTGTTCCCATCAGTGTGTGTCTGGTAAATTGTTTTCGTGTGTGTCAGTGGTGTGTGTCAGTGGGTGTTGGTGGGGAGAGGGATCTGCTTAGTCAGTTTGGCCTCCAGGGGCTGAATGAAAGCTCTAGTCTGAATCAATGTGAGGGCTTTTGATGTCTCTTTTCTGTTATGGAGGGGACTTACGGTTTATTTGTTTTGAGGCGTATAAATGATTTTGAAACTATTGCACTTCGTTTAGTTTGGGGGCCAATATTATGTTTTTCAATGTGTTCCCAATTGGTTAGAAGAATTGGGTTTATTTAAAAAAACAAAACAAAACAAAACAAAACAAAACAAAACAGGTGCCTGTGCTTGAGGAGGAAAAGGAACCCTTTACACTCCCCCTCTCACCACTCCCCCTCTCACGGAGGGGAGAGTAAAATAGAATGAAGAAAGGGAAATGGCATCTCTCTCCCTCTCTCTCTCTCTCTCTCTCTCTCTCTCTCTCTCTCTCTCTGTCTCTGTCTCTGTCTCTGTCTCTCTCTCTCTCCCATGAGATCTAACTAGACTGGAAGGGTTTGACAAACAATTAACAATCCTTCCCACTCAGCCGCTGTTTCCCAAAATAGCATCTCCTTGGCTGCCAGGGAAGATGGGGGCCTGCAGGGGAGGAAGACACAAAGGTGCCCTCTTTCTGAAGCCCGCGCTCTGCGATCTGGAAGGCAGAGGGGGAAGCCCAGGGGATTAAATTAGCAGGCAGCCCAGGCTCCACCTGGAAGGGAAATAGATGATAGGCTTTAAAGACAGGAAACTGCTTCGCACTCCAAAATAGTAATTTTCAAAAGCAACACAGGATGGATGCTGGGGGCGGGGTTCTCTCCCCTCTGTTCATCATTTGGAAGGAAATCACCCTTTAAGATGCAGCTCATTGAAGGAGCCAGGTCCTCTGGCATTCTGCAATTCTGCTCACCTCGCCCCCTCCTTGGAAGGACGGTTCCAGCCCTTCCTCACACCTGACCCCCAGGCGCAGACATTGCTCAACGCCAGGTCCAGAGAGGTCTGGTGAGGCCTGGGGTTGTCTTTTCTTCTCCTCGCTCTGCCTTGTCCTCTTTCTCGCTTGCTTCCCTTTCCCCTGTTCTGCATACAGCAGCCTGCCATGCTTACCTCTCCCTCTCTCTTTTCTCTGGAAAACTGCCTCTCACACTCCCACATGTCAATTTGCTCTGCCAGCCCAGGCTCTCTGAGATGTCTCCTGTCATGATGGGGATGGGGATGGGGATGGGGATGGGGATGGGGATGGGGATGGGGATGGGGATGGGGATGAGGAGGGAAAGCACTCAATGCACTGAACAAAGGGAACAGACCGGCAGCACGTGGTCCAGAAGACCAGGAATCTGAAGATAGAGGAGGAACGGAAGGACCGAGCGTGCCCCCTGAGGATTAACAGATTACACATGTCAAATGGGAGTCTAGATGTTGCTGTTTTTAAATTGCCCCGAAAATATACCCAGTGGGTATTAGAGCAGCTATGGAAAATAGAGATCTGTTCCACAATTTAATTCACAATCCAGCTTCTAGAAACCGTGGGCTTGGTTCCATTTGCATTGTGCATATGCTTCCCCTGTGACAGTGGCATTCTAGCTCATGGTCTGATCATACAGCCACATCCCTCTGAGACTGGGACTTCCCAAGGGCAGCTATAGGCCTCCTGTGTGTATCCTCAGTGGCTTGCATAGCACTTGGTCCAAGACACCTATTCAAATATTAGAAGGACTCAAGAGTATTGGGGAGGATGGATGGACAGACAGATAGATGGATGGATAGGAGAATAAATAGTAGAGGGAGACATTTGGAATATTCATACATTATCTCTTTTTTTCCTGATATCCTAGAAAAGGAAATATATAATTGGCAAACTTTCTTCTGAAAAGTAGGCAAGACAGAGGAGTGATCTGATTGACTCTGATGTTCCAAGACTTGTTCCCCATTTGTCCTCTTTAGCACCTAGCACTGTACAGAGTTACACTCAACACGCAGTTGTGAAATTAATAATTTAGAGGGGAGCTATTTTCCTTGAAGAAAGGGTTTTCAGGAAAGAGGATGGAGGAGTGACACAAATACAGTGCTACTTTACCTTCTCACCCTTGACTCCGTGAAACAACCCCAGGATGAGAGACCATGGACAGCCTTGGAACGTAAAGAGAGAAGAATGGGAGTATATGCATGTGATGTGATATTTCCAAAGGACCCTCCTTCAAAGGCGTTTGCAGCTGACTCAAACATTAGACTTTCAGATCCAGAGATACTTACATTCAAGGGCTCTGTATGATCGAGGGATATTAATTACGGAGCAAGGTTAGCGCCAGAACAGTAGGCAAAATAGAATGCTTGCGGCTCAGAGAGCACACTTCTGCTCTGCCCCAGCCGGAGTGGGAGAAAGGCTGTGTGAATCTATAAAGGGCTGGAATGATGCTAAGCAACTACGTGATTATGCAGATATATAACCAAAATTGAGTATAAGGACAAGATAGCTTAGTCTGGATTTGTCACTCAGTTAGCTTTAAGGCCATTCATGTATTCAATTCTTCCCCCACTGCCCAAGCCCCACAAAAAAAACCCAAAAAAAAACAAAACCCAGAAACCCCAGAGCGCTGAGATTTACATAGTCCAGGAGCTTTACCAAATTCTGAACACAGAATGTGCCTGGGAGGTATTAGAAAGGGCAGTTAATTGGTTGGCTCCTGAATGTGTTAATCCTGAGCAAAGCAGTGTTACTGCCTCATTAGCACATTAATTCTACAGACTATTCTCTGCAGTCCTGTATCACTTAATATCCTGGGCATTTCTGCAGGTTGTTTTACAAAATCAAGTTGCATTGACAAGAATTGCAAACTAAGACTCTTGGCTCAAAAGCCCTTGTTCTGGAACATTTTAGATTAAGAAAAGATAAGGGTGTAAATACGTGCCTGAAATACTGAGCCTGGCTCTTCCTTCTCTGCTCAGAAAACCTGTAGTTGGTCCGGGCACGGTCAAGGTCCCTTGCCTCTACTGAAGTACACAGTGAGAGGTGAGCGGTTTTGCAACCCCAGCTGTGCTGGAAGTAGTCTCTGGGACCAGTGAAGGCCTCGATGTCCCCAGCTCTGCACTCCCAGAACCACTCTCCCACATGAGAAGGGCTCAGTTACTCCAAAGCCAGTCCTTCAAGTTGGAGTTCATTGCCACATTAGTTTTTCATGCACCTTATTTTTGCATACATTTTCTATGGTCTTCTGCATGCATGTCTTCCTGCTTACTAGATTATAAAATGGTTCATGGTAGGGACCTTTTTTCAACTTCTGTTTCTCTAGTAGAATCCAGCCTACTGTCTTATATCTAATTAATACCCATAAATATTGGTTGCTTCAAATTTTCACGAGAGAGAGAGAGAGCAAGGGATAGTAGAAAGAATACTGGATAAGGAATCAGATCTTCTCGTGGATTCTGCCACTAGCCAGCCAGTGACCCTGTGCAAGTCATGGCACTTCAGTCCTCAGGATCCTAATCTGTGACGTGATAAGGTTCAAATAAGGTCCCTCTAGTTCTCACACACTAGATATAGAGGAATTAGAAGGATTTTGAGTAGCCTAACTTTATTTGCTAAATTAGTGGCTGTGGAGGAATATTTAAAGGAAAAAGGAGATGAGATGTGTCCTAAAGGTTTCTGGGATTTATTAAAATCCCTGCAGTTTGGGTTCTAATTGAACAAAATGTAAGAGGACAGAAATAACCATCATAATATTTGAGTTAATCAACTTAGGAAATAAATTCTTCCATTTCAGTCATCAGATGAAGATTCACTGATTATCTACTATAGCCCAGGCACAGCCAGGGCCCCGGAAACACCAGGATGGGGATGGCCCCCTCCAGCAGTATGGCCTCCACACAGCTCACCTCCTTGTAGGGCAGACAGGCTGGTGGGAGTGTAGAAATTCATTGTGATCAGTCCTACAGGAGGACTGTGTGCAAAAAGACAAGAGTGGGATCAGAGGGCAAAGGCAACTCCTCTGTGATGCAGGGCCGGGGACAAAGGGAGAGCTGGGGACCAAGGATCACGGTGCTAGAGAAAGAGGTTTGACCTACTTATTCTTCTATTAGTTGAAGATGAGGATAATGAACAAAAAGATGGGGGTGGGTAGGAGAGCTCCAGCCACAGTCCAACCCTTAATCTTTCCTCACAGCACCTAGGACACCCCACTCTCCTGTGTTGTTCACTGAAGTATATCTAATATCTAGGACAGTGGCTGGCACTTAGTGTGTTCAAGCCATTGTTGTTGAGTGAAAGAAAAAAAAAAAGAATACAATAAAACATCTCCTCTGTCACCTTATCCCTAACTACCTTTTGACCACTTCAGGATGGTACACGGTGGCATCACAGAAGCCAAGGAAGATTCCAACAAAGGAAGTCTATCCAGCGATGTTAATTCATGTCATATATTGCAGAAAAGACAAGGGAAATTAGACTGAGACGTAGATTGGACAGTTGGGAGTGTCCGGGTGACCTCCCCAGCAGCAGAGTAACTGGAGTGCTGGTGACATACAGCAAGTCCTTCTGCAGAGCTTTGGAGCAGAGGTGAGGAGTAGAGACAGCTAGCAGACAGCTTGCTCTTAACTCGGTGCCATGAAGAAAGTAGAGAGAGAAACCCAGGAACTTGGGAGAGTTTCTGAAAGTTGAGAACAATTTGCAGAAAGCCAAATAAACTACATCCAGGGGAGGGCCATAGGGAATAAGAGGAAAGGGAACCAACCAATATTGAGTTCCCATATCGCTTAATCCTCTCAACACTCTTGGGAAGGTGCTTGGAGATGATTTTTGAAACTTGCTCAAGACATGCTACAACATGGATAAACCTCCAGAGCATTATGCTAAGTGAAATAAGCTGGTCACAAAGACAAACATAATGAGGTACCTAAAGTAGTCAAATCCATAGGACAGAAAACAGAATGGTGGTGACCAGGGGCTGGAAAAGGGGTAATAGAGTGGTGTTTATTGAGTCTAGAGTTTCAGTTTGGGAAGATGGAAAGTGTTGGACAACAATATGAATGTACTTACCACTAATGGACTGTATACTATAAATGGCTTAAATGGTGAATTTATGTTACATGTACTTACCGCAATTTAAAAAAAAGTTCTTAGATTACACAACTAGTGTAAATTGAGGAGGTGGGATTCAAATCCTTGTCCGGCTGGGAAATCTCTGCCCTTTTCTATATATATGAAGTTGAAGCTACAGCAGGGAGAGAAATAACTGGTGGGGAAAGGTCTTGGGGGAGTAAGAAGAGGGACCAGCCCAGAGCAAAAAGTAGAACACCTCTGCTGAGACTGAAGCCAAGGAGGTGAAGGGAGGTAAAGGGAGATGGGTTGCAGGTCCCTTGGTGGCTGAGAAGATAAGGAACTTCTGAGAACCTCTGCTTTCTTTGTGAAGTTGGAGGCAAAGGGGGGTGGGACCAAGCAGGGAGCTTGAGGGAATGAAGAGCATTTGGATAACTGTTATGGACAAAACCGACCAGGGTTATATATATAAATAAATGCCAAGCAGAGTTGAGATTATGGCCATCATGCCTAATTAAATATATGGATAAATTCCATGGAGAGCTCCCTCTGAGGAAATGGGCAGTTATCAGAAGTCCATTCGTTAGGTTGACAAGTACAGGCACAATGGGAAGCATTAGTCATACTCCTAAGTCACCAGGAGCCCTGGAAAATGGGTGATTTGCTTACAGACTCAAGGTGCAGCTGTGAACAGCTAGAAACCTCCTGCTGCAAAGAAACCAGTTCAAGAACCAACAATCAAAATGGTTCAAGTGTAATCAGTCTCAAGTGGTAGTCCCCCTGCCTGTGCAGAAAGAAGCTTCAACTTCAAATCGCCTTGAGCTGCCACCATCAAGCAATGAGAATTTTCAGTCGCACAGAGAGATGATGCTCACCCCAGGAAGCAGCATCTTCAAATTATGAAAGACAGCAGCAAGATCCAGGCACCAAATACCTTTTGCCTTTTGTTCTAAGGCACATGTGCCAAACACAAGGCCCGCGGGCCAAATCCGTCCCGCCAGGCCTTGCAATGTGGCCCGCACCGCGCTGTCATCACTGCACTCCACTGTGTTTCCATCACAATGACAGTTTATGACTGTTCAGTAAACCATTCGGCCCGCGATTTAGGCTGGATTTTAGATTTTGGCCCCTTCTCTGATTGAGTTCGACACCCCTATTCTAAGGGGTTGGAAAACAGTGGAAATGTCCCCAATACTTACTAAACAAATTACTTTTAATGTTATAATATGAGATGACCAAATTCTAATAATACAGCCTTTTCAGATTATCCTACTATTAATGGGTCCCCTAAGTATCTAATTTACAATTTACTGACTGCAAACTAAATGGATTTTTCCAAAGAAGAGTTTTTGAGGTAGCTGTAATGACAGGCACAGATTACTTTAACGAGCTCACTGTCACTCACTTTTATTATTTGGCCAATTTTTACGTGAAACTAGTTTCATGTAAGCCAGATAATTACAAGTTATCCCAAAAGAAATGAGTGGCTGCGTTGTTCATCAAATTAAAAAAAAAATGTATTTGGAAATAATTAGAGTCACAGGACAGCATTAAAGATAGTCCAGAGAGGTGCCACGTACCCTTTGCCAAGTTTCTTCTATGGTTACGTTTTATACTAATCATGATACAATATTGAAATCAAGAAACTGATACTGATATGAGATGTGTGCATAGTTCTATGTCATTATCACATGTGTAGATCCGTATGACCACCACTGCAATTAAAACCCATCACTAGCCGAAACCAGTTTGGCTCAGTGGTAGAGCATCGGTCTGCGGACTGAGGAGTCCCGGGTTCGATTCCGGTCAAGGGTATGTACCTTGGTTGCGGGCACATCCCCGGTAGGGGGTGTGCAAGAGGCAGCTGGTTGATGTTTCTCTCTCATTGACGTTTCTAGCTCTCTATCTCTCTCCCTTCCTCTCTGTAAAAAATCAATAAAATATATTTTTTTAAAAAGAAAGAAAAAAAATACCCATCACTAAAAGGTCTCTCTCATGCTACCTTTATAGTCACGCCCACCCCCTTTCCCCACCATTCCTTACCCTGGCAACCACTTATCTGTTTCCCATCGCTATAATTTTGTCATTTGGAAAATGTTGCAGAAATGAAATTATACAGTATGTGACCTTTTGAGATTGGCTTCCCCCCCACACTCAGATAATGCCCCTGAAATTTATTCAAGTTATTGCATATATAAATAGTTTATTCCTTTTTGTTGCTGAGTAGTATTCCATAGCATAGAGATAGCATTGTATAACCATTTTTCTATGGAGGTATATTTTTGTTGTTTCCCATTTCAGGCTATCCTTCTCTAATAAAAAAGAAATATGCAAACTGACTGTACCTTCACTACACTCACAAGCCCTGCCCACCCAGCCAATCAGGGCAAGTACACAAATTAACCCAACCAAGATAGTGATTAATTTGCATATCCAGGCCAGAGCGAAGACTGAAGACAGTATAGAAAGAGGCCAAGTGCTGCAGAAGGGAGCAAAGCTGCGGAGAAGCAAGCAAGTGGGGCCGCGGAGAAGGAAGGGAAGCAGGCGGGGAGGGGAGAAGGGAGAGAAGCCGGCAGGGCAGCTGAAACCGCAGTAGAAAGCCCTATTGTAGGAATCTTCCTGCAAGGGGCCTCTAGTCTATACTTATATTAGGATAATATGCAAATTGATCAGAATGCTGTCACATAATGACCAATCAGCAGGAGGGCAGGGCAGCAGAGCTCCATGCAGTGGAGAGCTGCAAGCAGCGGTGGGCGGGCCAGCCAGCTGAGGCAAGTGGCAGCAAACTACTTGCATACGAATTCGTGCACAGGGCCACTAGTTACAAATAAAACTATGGAGAACTGAATACAGGTTTCAGCATATACACACTTTAATGTATATACACTTAAATGTGTACACACCTTCTCTGGGGTCAATTGCCAGAAGTGTAACTGCTAATAAGTACCTATCTAGTTTTTAAAGAAATGTCCAAACTATGTTCCAGAATGTTGATACCACTCTCTTTTTCCACCCACAATGAATAAGCGGTCCAGTTTCTCCACATCCTTATCAGAGTTGTCACTACTTTTAATTTCAGCCGTTCATATAGGTGTGGTGATGGCTCACTGTGGTCTTAATTGGCATTTCCCTAATGACTAGCAATGTTGTACATATTTCTGTAAAGATATTAAGTTTATAATTGGTTCCAGGTTTCCTTTTGGCAAATCATTTCACTCTCTCCAACCCTCAATTTTTTTTTTCATCTGTAAAATGAGAAAATTTAACTATATCACCTCTAAACAACCCTCCAGCTATAACCACTAGATCCACCCTGGGTGAGTTTGTTTGCAAGGTGAGGAG